ATATAAAGTTTTGTGTTTTATTTATTTTACTTATTATTTTTATTGTTATAAACTAAAATGTTAAAAATAATATCAAAAATTTAAGTCGAAGACAAAAATCTGTGATCTAGAATGTCCGTAATTTTCTATAATAATTAAATAATTTTTTGTTATTTTAAAATATCGATCGTACCCCCTTAACTGTTTGTTTTTTATGTGACTCTAGATTAGGATTTCTAAGACCATGCATCTAGCTGGAAGTTTTAAGATTTGACCTTCTATGTAGTTGTGAAAAAAATTGTCAATCGGAGTCACTTTTCGCGCTCCAACTTTGCTCCGAATCGCCGCGAACCTTTGCTCCTCGATAGCGAGACATCTTTATCATCGAAATTTTATACAATGTCGATGCATCGATGTGACTATACAATAAATTTGGAGCTATAACTATCATGGAGATAATTTATTCCCGATTATAATAATCCCGATATAGCAACCGAAAAACTACCGAAGCGAACGTTATCTATGGAAAATAGATGTCTAGGAAAATATATATGAAGAATATTATTTTTTTGCATGTGTTTGCGTTACATTATACATATTGTCCGCGTTCATTGACATCGCCATATGCGTCTCGAGTAACAGAACACGAAGTAACGAGAACACGAAGACGGTTATAATGAAGCGATTTCACTCTGCTTCAATTTACAAGAATATCGCATATAAAGACATTGCACATATCGAGTTCTTGTAAATCGTATGTAAAGATAATATATAGTAAGCGATGATACTTTGCCATGGGAATTTCCCGAAAACAGGTCTCATGACGCGCAACAGATGTGCACTTAGGTAGTACATAAAATCATGTATCATCATCATGTCTTTCTGTGTCATTTAAAATCAAGAATTTAATAAAGACAAATTATTTATTCATTGTGATAAAATTAAACGATTACTAAGTTATTAATTAACCTTTGGCTCTATTTATAATATTTATTTATCATTTAAAAATAAAGAATTAAATTTAAAGAATTTATACGAATTAAAAGATGACAAATTATTTATTTCTTCTTTAAAAATGAAGAACTGAATTTAAAGAATTTAGAAATGACGAATAAAGCCATGATGATTGTAATAAATACACAAGACTTTCGTCTGTAAAATTAGCAAGCGTGAATGACCTACAAGATAAGGCTACGCCCGCGAATTGCGTATACACGAGATCCTCGCAAGGACCTGAAGAGCTCACCCTATAAGCGCAAAATGTTCCTAGAATGTTACATGAATATTATTAAAAAAAATTAAAATAATGTTACTATAATATTTCGAAAATATCATAAATATTTTTTTAATATTACAGGAGTATTCTA